ACTTCAAATTCTTACTGATTTGGATCTTTCTGGTTTGTTAGACCCTAGATCAGCATTGGGTTTTATTGCAGTTATATTTAATTCTTAAAAGTGCAAATACAATATTCTTGAAAGCAATATTACTTTCACTGAGAGCTGCATTTCTTCAAAAACTAGTCAGAACCTTTTTGTCAGAGAAAAATTAGTAGGGCTTTCAGGTCGGCATATCTTGTGCATAGCTATCCCTTCCATTGATTAACATGCACTAATTAAACAACCATTGTCACACAGAAAGACATAAGCCCCGAGTGGGATCTAACCTAAAAATAGTCAAGTTTTATAGATTCTGGTTGTATGTAGTTATTCAATTGCTGTGGAACATTATGCTATTCTGAGTTTTCATCATTAATTTTTTTTTATATATCTATAGCAAAAACTGCAATAGGCAACAATTGAAATTGTTTTCAAGGCATTTCACAAGCTGACTTTATAATACATAGGTAATTTCAAATACAATTACAGGCCAATTTAATGAGAGAATATTCCAGTAATTCTGCTTAAATGCTTAGAATAGTGAGTCATGTAGGTCCTACACAGATATACTTAATCTTCTTTTTAATCATGATGACCTAATGTTGGAATCACTCTACAGATTGTTTTCTAGATTAAGATTTCATAAGGAACAAGTAAGCAACTTTGGTGACAGACTGGTAGAAAAAAAAAAAAGCTTTATTGCTCAAAGCACTGAGCAACTGCAATACAAAGTGTCTCAAAGTATTCTTTTATTTGACAACTCAAGCTGAATGGCAACTTTTATTTTAAATCAAATAGATGGAATAAAATAAATGAAATACTTTGACACAGGTCAGTTTGAGATGTGATAGTGATCAGAATGACAACTAACTACTTTTGGCTGGGATGCAGTGGGAGCTTCTCGGCTTTTAAGCGTATTTGACATTGAAGTAGACTATTTGGAACAGCTGCTATCCTGTGCTGTTGACCTGACTACACCTCTGGAAGGCTGGAAAACCAGTTTGATTTTTTAGGCTGCTTAGTTGTTTGGGGTTTGTATGCTGCACTTGGAAAAAGATACTTGGATTAGTGATACTAGTACAAATTACAAGCATTACAAATGATGCTCATACTTGTAGCTTAACGTTACTCTGTTTGGCATGTAGCAAATAATACGAGAGGTTTTGGAGACAAAGATTATATGAATGGCTGTACTGGGCTAGGCTAAATGTCTTAACACTCCCGGATTCCTATCTCTGAGGGTAGAGATAGGAATTCTTATTGGTAGTTGCCTAGGGGTATGTGTAAAAATTAAGTACTGTACTGGCAAGTACTGCTTTCCCAAATATTCTTCCAGCTTTCAGCAACTGTCAAAGATTTACTGGTCTATCAGTCTTTCATACTTACCTGCCTTTCTGGATTTTGGGGTAATTGCTTTTAAAAAAATCCTCTATCAGGCATTTTCACCATTCCATATGCCTTAAGAAAAAAAAAACCAACCACCACCTTTCATTTCTCTTGAACCTGCCCCTGGTGGCTTCATTTGGTAGCACCACTGCAGATACCTAGCCCTCATTCTCTTCAGGCATTCCCCAGCCAGAAGCTATTCCACAATTCTTTATTGTTCTTAGCACCTTCCTCTGTATGTTTCCTACTTGAGTGTTGAGACTTTAAATTCTGTTCTGGGAACTGGAGAGAAAGCAATCACTGATAGACAATAAGGTTTCAAACATGCTTACATGTTACAGGTGGAGTGGAATCAGATTTTTACATTATTGCTAGTGACAAGAAGACAGAGGTCTTCTCAGTGATAACAAAAATTGAAGGCAAATTATTTTCTTACAATCACTGTTTTCATATAGATGTAGAGAATGCTTTTATAATTTATCTAGACAAAGACTTAATTCTATGGTGTTACTTAAATATATTTTCTTTTTTGAAGAAATTATGTAAGGTACCATGATGAATTTTATGCCAGTAGTGTAAAAAGTGAGATATTTCTTGACACTGTTCGGTAATGGAACTGAAAACAGCAAGACCTGAGGGCTTTCCTGACATGTTACTGAGTCTTGAATGTTAGATCACATGTTAGTGATTACTGCTCTGGAAGCAGTTGTATCAAAGGCATCCGTTGTATCTATACAGTAATCAGTATCCATACCACTATTTTACAGTAAAGTGCTATTGAAGAGTGGTATCACTTTTCAACATGTTAAATTTCTCTATTAGCAGTCATTTTGATCAACAAAATCAATTTTATGTTGTGGTAAGGCTTGCTAAACTTCAATTCTATATCTTTACATGTGGTCCAGGTCAGTATTTGCTTGGCAAATGGGTGTGTGGGATAGGAGGGTGGGATGGGTGGGGGTGTTACATTTCCTTTAACGTTTCCTTTCATATTTCCTGATCAGTGTCCAAGATCACTGATTTTTCTGTTGGCAGCATCTTCCTTAAATGTAAAATGTCAGTTCTTTACAGTAGCTGTCTCAAATTACCTGCAAAGGGTTGTGTAGACTGGAATTAATAAAACCAGAGGAAACGATATATTACAGCATTTTGAAAGGTTTTATTTAAAGATACCAGTATCATTGAAGTTTATGTACTCAGGGTTTCTCTGCTGTGGCTGAAGAATTCACTCCTTTTAAAAGTTGTGGGTCTACTTAAAACAAAAATTTGTTATCTAAGGATTATATAGGAAAACATGAATTGTTCTGCAGCACAGGATATTAAATCATTTGGCAGTATGTCTGTGTCGCAAGGACCTATAGTAGCTGAGGGACATGTTCCTTCTGGGGACATGTTCCTTCTGAGGAATATGTTGGACTCTTAAATAGCAAATGATGAAATAACATACCTCTGGAGAGGTACAGAGCACAGACATGGCAGGAGGCCAGCAGGTCAGACTCATCAATTCTGTACCATGGGTTTTCTAGCTGAGACAGCTGTAAGCAGAGGTGGATCATTAGAATCACGCTTTCAGGTCTCTCTCCTTAGACCATGTTATACCTAGTTTTAGCTTTTGGCTCTCTACTATCTGTGGTCTATTTGATCTTCAAAATCACAGCTGAACAGGAAGGAAAATTGATGCTGAAGAAACTGTGGAAACAGGAGAACAGGCCTCTGCCCTTTACATTTGTGTCTGGATGTACTAGGTGTAAAGAAAGCGTGTGCTGCTTTGAACTGTGTTGTATTAGGCCTGCCAGGCAATGTAAAAGTCCGGGTAAGAGAGGAGCTCAGGAAGGAGGTGCTCCCTGATATCCTGAGTAGCTAGGCATGTAACATCCACTCAGCAGCTGGGTGATAGGGAGCTACTGTGATTTTTCTATTTGAGAGCTGCCTTTGGAATGCTTTTTTCATTTTGCTGTCTGAAACAGATCATGTTTGTTGCTAGTCAAGTGAAAGTATTGGTGTGAAGTTTAAGAACCAAAGGACTGCATGCTTTTCTCTTAGTGGGAAGAACAAGTATATATGAAAAGTAAAATGAGAAGAAAAGTGTCTTTATTCTTTGGTTGCAAAATACTGGGTAAAGACTTCTGGCATAATCACAGGTGGGGCATCCTGAAACACATGGAGAACCTCTTAATGTGCATCCAAGTGAATTGCCAGCTGGAGGTGAGGAGCGCTGCCACTGAACTGGAGATTCCTTTGCCAGCTGACTGAGATAAACTTGTTTTTACTATCTTTGCTCTTCCAGGTTTGGCTGTGGTTGTCTTACATGGTTGCTTCGTTTGAAGTCAAGTTCCATACATCTGTCTTGTGTTTATAACTTTTCATGTTCAAGTTAATGCTGTGACTTCTGAATAAAGGCTTTTTCCACACAGCACCTTCTGTTGATTTCAAATGGAACCACAAAGCACTTTGCACTTTCAAACAGGTAATTCTTTTGAGAACCTAAAAAGAGACTACTGGATCTAATCAGAAGTACTTGCATTTAAACATCCTAACTTTTATCTTTTTTATACAAATGTACAGGTACCTTTTTTCAAGTAACAGTTGGATCTTCGCCTGTTCAATGCAATGTATTACTTGCACAGATGTAAACCAGTGTGATGACTTAAATATTTTAGAAAATAAGATAGAATGTGATAGAGGATGGGTACAGGTAGTAAATGTACATGCTGTTTGACTCCTGTTTTCTTCTTGCAGACTTTGATAAATTACAGTTTCTTAAATCTGTGGTCATGGTCTCATTAGTGTTCTTAATCAAATAATTCAAAGGAGTTCTTGAGTCTGTGAGAACCAAAATTGTGCAAAACCACACATAATCTCAGGCAAGGCATTATCCACTTGTTTTTGCAGGGTGGGTAATGACAAACAGCTGTAATGGAAGGTAATTGCAGACAGCAGTTGCTAGCAGATAGGGATATTGAGTGTCATGGACAGAAGACTCGCTTCTCATTCTTCATCAGTTTGGGTTAAACTTGAGAATCAGAAACAGAAACTAAAAGGCAATAGTGCTTTCAAACAGTCTGAGTTATGTTTTTGTGGGCCATTAGCCACAGCTAATCTAGGGTGCACTAAAAATTATACATCTACAGCAAAGGGGGGAGAGGCAGATTTTTTTTGTGTGAGATATGAAATGCAAAAAAAGAAAACTCCATGAGGGTGTTTATTTTAAAAATCATCCATTTGTCCTTAAACTAGAATAATAACTAGCTGGTTTACAGAATACTGACTGCATTTTTTCATGGTTTCAAAAACTGGCATGGTCATTCAGCTGAGAGAAGTCCTTTTGTTTCCCGTCACTATTATATTTTGCATACTTTACAAAAACTTACGATCTCCCCCAAAGTGTTCAAACTAATGAAAAGTGAGCTCCCCTTCATTACCCTTCTCAATTCCCTGGACATCAGTTCTTGTAATGAACTTGCTATTTCTGCATCTTCAGTTTAATAAGACTGCCTTCCTTGTATGCGCCAGCTCAGCTCTCTCAGGAGCTTGTTATACAGCTTTCTTAGTAGGCTAGGGAGGGGCTAGCAAGCAAGGTGCTTTCCCCAGATCCTAACTGATACAGAATGTTGTAGGAGGTCTCTGATGCCTGATGAGGTCCATAAAGTACTTTGCTTGGCCTCATGTGAGAAAGCAAAACCTGTAACAAGACTTTTTGTACGGCAGCAGCTGTTTCATTTGTACAGCACAGCACTGATTTTTTTTAATTTTTTTTTTTCCTCACTGATTTGTTTTCCTCCATGGTATTTATCTACAGCTAGTTATTTTTAAACCTTCAGAGCCGCATACTGGATTTAAGTTTGTTTCCTGAGATGTGAGACTCCCTGAAATGTCCTTCGGTTCCTCTATTTGTTCTGGTTTTGTCCAGATCTCCTGGGTTTCTGCCGCTGGCCCTGGTAATTCAGGAGGACATTTACGGGGTCTTCTGCCATGGCCGGTTCCTCATCCACTGAAAAATAAGCCAACACCACAAAATTCCGTGAGGATGGGCTAATTTCCTATGGTGAATTTTTATAAAGAAGAGGAGCTGGTGTATATTAGTAGAAGCTAATGTTATGAAATGGAAGGTACCTAAGTAGCACGTTTGTACAGTTTGCCCATTCTAGAAGGAAGTCTTCTGAGTTTGAGACTGGGACTGTGCTTCTATGGCCAGTGAAGATTGACATCAACAGAAATACACTATTCTCGTTTCCCTCCTCTAAGCAACACCAAGGAGAGCAGTTAGCTTGTACTGGCAATTCACATTCTGCTTTACTGGGGCAGTGCCATGAGAGCCTCAGACTGGCCTGGTCCTCCTGATGCTGCCTGTGGTACAGACAGAACAGAGAAATTAACTGCCCCTGTAACCTGGAATCTTCACAACGGGACAGTGTCATTAGAGATTGTCATGAGAGCTTGGGGAGTGGGATGTCAAAAAGTCGAAATGAAGAAAATAATAAGAAAAATCCAGTTAGCATAAAACGCTTTTTCAGGATGCATTAGCTTGGAGAATTGTGTGCTGTTTTGATGCTAAGGTGGAGTTTATTTACGTGAAGCCTCTCGCTTGCTGCACAGAGGAAAATGAACTTTGCTCTTAGTAATGCAAATTTGATTATTTTTTTTCTTTGTTTCTTTTTGAGATCTAAGGAAATAGGCACCTAAAGCCTGCTGAATTTCTGAGGTTTTGTCAAAGAGAGGAAGCGTTCGTATTTATAGGAGTCTGTTCTCAGGTTTCTCTGTGATAAGGCATTTGTTCACCTGATAGTCTTAAGGTGAAGCTGGCTCTTTTGCCTGTATTGGGAATGCTGCTGGGGATGGGCTGTGTGAGTTGGCTGGAGGACTACATGATAGGTTGGGCTCTGCCTATAGGTTAAGCAAAAGAAGGGCTTGGAGGTGGAATTGGGACTGTGGTGCTCAAACTATTAAATAGACATGAATTCATCCTGCATCCTTTTGAGAATCCCAGCCAGCACACCTGAGATCTGCAAGCTGAGAATCTCCTTCCCTGAGGTGCTGAACAGCCAGATGTAATTCCCTTCAAGCATTCAGACAGGTGAGAAGCACAGAAGCAATATTCCTTTGGCAAATTAGTCTGTCAACTACTTTATTCACCTTTCTCTCTTAAAGCCTTTATTGCCTTAAGAAAGTTTAGGAAATTCTTGCTTAAACTCCAAGTGCAAAGCTAAAAATTCTGAGCTTGAAGAGAAGCAGGATTTAACACCTGGTTCTGCTGATTATTTACAGACCTGCAGAAATTGCAGCTATGGAGGATGTGGGCTCTGCGAAAAGGAGACAGACCAGTTTGCTTCAACAGTTGTTTGCACAGCATGAATGTGAATGTGAACGTATGTGTCTTTTCAGTTGGGCTCTTTTGGCTTAATGAAAGTATAGTCTGAGCCTCAGCAAAATACCTGGACTGATGGGATCTGGAACCCACCTGCTTTTCCTGTCTTGCTTGATCCCAGCTGGAACAGAAAAGCAAGAGCATCACCAGGGATAAATGAGTGTCTGGGTATTATTTTGTAATAACTAATATCCATAGCAGACAGACACAGATGTTTAATTCCTGCAAGGGAGAATCTGCGCTTTTATCCAAAGTCTAATGCATTAGTTGAATTAGTTTCCATTTCAACCATTTTAATGAAAGAGCTCTCAACATTTAGCCTTCCTATTCCCTCATAGATACTGAATTGCTTGGTGTTCTTGGCACCACACTACTTTTTGGTTGTTGTTTATTAGTGTGGAAAAAACTGTCAGCACCTTGCTGTAAGGACAATACATAACTAAAGTCAGAGCTGGGTTAGGCATACAGAATAGACTTCCCCAGCTGATCAATTCAGCATCTGAAAGCACATCTTGAACAGGAAATGTTTGAGTTTTAGCAGCTTGAAGGTAACTTGTGGTGTATGCCTGTAGGCAAACAAACACCTTTCCCTCCTCTTTGTAAAAGGGTAGGGTCTAAATGCCTGGAGGTGTTACACAAAATAAGAAGTTAATTCATTCTGTGTTTCAAGGTGTGACCTTTTTACTTTTAGTACTGTGTTAAATTGCCCAATTTTTAGGATTTCAGAAGCTGCAGGATAGAACAAACTTAATGAATGTGCAAATCGCATTGCTTGATCTGGCATCTAGATAAGGGTTCTTCCCTAGCCTTGTGCTGATGGGTACACTTAGCCTTCTCCCGCGGGGCTGATGCACCTTGGGCCAGCTCAGGGTTTGTCTGCAGAGCTCTGTGGCCAGGATTGTCCTGCCTGCTCTAGACAAGGCTCTGCTTTTGAGATCACAGGTGAGCTGCTAGAGCTGAAACCTACAGTGCATGCATTGTGGACCATTGTCGTGGGCAGGGTTCTCACTAAGCTGTACCAGGAAGCATATGAAGTTCACAGAAGAAAACTAGGATGTGATCTTAGCTTCCCTAGTGCTCCCTATGGAGAAAAAGTTCAAAAGGCAGCCAGTTTGAGGAGCAAGCTTAGCCTAGTGCCTGCAACAACACATTTTGGTAAGGGCTGAAGGAAAGAAAGGATGAGGACTTTGATCAGAATGTGCACTGGGTCTGGCCTTGGCAGCTGGAAGCCTAAAAGAAGAGCAGAGCATGTGTGAATCTGCTGCTGCAGCTGGGACCCAAAGCTGGAAGGCATGAGGGTTGTCCCATTAAAACTGGATGGTCTGATGTACAGGGGTTTTCATCTAAAAGAAACTCCCTTCCTGCTGTGGTGGTAGCCCAGTGTCTTTTTTGCAAGCAGCCTTGGTTTGCAGTACCCGGGTGTGTTACACTCAAGCTGCATTTACTTGGGTGGGGGGTGTTTCTTCTTGTGTTTTTTCTCTGAAGATACAAGTTTGAAGTGAGTATAAGCTGATTTTAAAATAGAAGAGGCAACATGGCAAACGTGGATTCGGGTACAAAGTAAAAGCAAATGCATACCTTTGAGATAACAAAGATATGTACTCAATAACCATCTACTTACAGGGTGTAGCTTCTCTTGCCTGTCTCACTGAACACTTGCATGGTGAAAGCACAGGGGAAAATTACCTGTACTTTTAACTACCCCATTATTTTTCTCCACGTTGGTTGTCTTTTCTATAGTGTAGTGTAGTAAAATCTTTTACAGTATGGTACCTAAATCTACAGAGTTTTGAGTGAGATTCCAGTCCAAGTTGTGAGCAAATTCCCGTAACATTTTTCAAAGAGGAAATGATCTAAAATGCAGTACAACTTTGTAAAATATCATACTTCAGTTTAGTTAATGGTACAAGCCTAACAGCCTGTTGAATTGAGAAGTTCTCTCTGCCTACCCATTCAGTGCCCCCAAGTCCTGACTCACCTTCTGTTAGTTTGAGCCTGAAGAAGGCAATTAGCAGCAGGAGTAAAGCCATGGGCATAAAGACCCCAGCAAGGAGAATATAGCCAGGCAGCTCCTTCACAAACACCGAAAGTAAGTAACTCGTGTGCATTTTCCTCTGCAACAGATGAAGTGAGCAAGATCCTTCAGATCTTCAAGTGTGGAGCTTATTTATCCTGCTTTCTTCCTTTCCTCCCTGCATCCACGTTCTGCCCTTTGCTCAATCCATTATCTCTTTTTGGACTTTGGCTTGTTTGTATAAGCCTGTGATTCCCAGTGGGACCGGAGTTTGCTTGCAAAATTGCTCAGCCACAACGTTTAAAAGTGCATGTTGTAGTAATGTGGGTCTTTGAAACCTTTGGGATTCTTCTGGGAAGGGCTCAATATGCAAGGCTGCTGCCTTTTGAGCAATACGGGTTCTGTCATGTGCTAACTTTGCACAGGCCATACTGAACAATAAGCCCTCTCTTTCTAAAAGTATTATTAATTTTACGATAGATCTCAAATGCTCACTCAGGGTGAAGACCTTGTTATGAACACCACACGTGTTTCTCTGCTCTGGAGGGTTTTCAGACCTGACCATTGAGGCCAGCATCAAATGATGGAGTGGATGCTGTACCAACAGTATTTTTCCAAAGAGCATCTGCAGAACAGTGAAACTCAGGAAGGTTTCTTTCTTAGCAAAGTGGAAAATACGTGACTGTCTGTGTGTGTTTGAGGTGTGCCAAAGAGTTCAGGAAACTTTTTAACACTGAAGTAACTGGATTTGGGATGTACAGTATATTCAGTTTTTCCCATCTGGTCACCAGCCTATGGCAGAACTGTGTCTAGGATACACTGGTTGGTTTAAAAGATGATTAGTCATTTTATAGCCCTTCCCTACACCTTCAGGTTTGTAAAAAGATGTAGACCTGATATCTTGGAAGTGCTATTGTGTCCAGGTTGCATTGACTTCACTTGGAAGCAATGCAGAATCTCGCTGTTTGACCTGCCTGTGTGCTTGAATTCCAGCAGAGATGTGCTTCAGGTTGTTGGACATCAGGTTAGTCTACCTGAACATTCAGTCTCTGGCTTATCAAATCTGATGCCTGATGAAGGCACCAGGTGACATTAAGCATTGCGGGATTTGTGGCTTCACCACTGTGTTAGAACATGGACAACTGGGTAGGTAAGCAGGCTGGAGCCAATGGGAAATGCAGTAGATTTGTAGATTTTTGGGGGGAAAAGGTATTTCTGTGTTCACCTCATTTCCTTCACCTGAGGTAAACAACCTCAGCTAATAATTTTCTTAATTTTATAATATTCTTTTTGACTGCCAACGTAGTTGAGATCCTTCCTTTAGCACTACAAGCGATGTAGAATATTGTGTTTGCAGGGAAATTCCTGGATTTGTTAATCATCCACTGTTGTGACTGATAAAAGGACAAATGCAGTGTGACTTACTTCTTGCTTTATATTTCTTTGGCTTTGGCTTCTAACCATTACATCTTATTCTGCGTTTTCTGACTAGGTGTTTGACCTCATTCATAAAGTGCTTTATGATTTACTCATGAAAAGCATGGACTAAAAGCCAAGTTGTCAGGGTATTATTATTATAGGGCCATCTGTTGCCAGATAATTCCTTCCTTGCATAGATACGTGTCAGCTGTGATCAATAAATTCCTTTAACTTCTGGGTTTTTTTCACATGAAAAGTTGATTGAGTTTTTTTTTAGGCTATCATGAATGTCAGTATTCCAGTCTGCAGAACTGTTGCAATATTTTGATGAACCCTCTTCTGGATCCCTTTTAAAATTCCTTCCTAACTGATGTTCTCAAAAAGATATCTTGAGCCATAAGAGAGCCCAGTCTGAGAGTGAAGGTTGTTACTGAATTCCAAGTGCTGTAGCATTAAGAAATGAGTTGGGGGGGGGGGCACCTGAGGTATTAGTTCTTTCTGTCAAATGCAAGTCAGGGGAGACAATGAAGTGCATATCTGCCTTGCTTGTCACAACTGACTGTCATGGGGCCAGACAGCTGATGGACACAGAGCAGGCAGCTTGGAAGTGGTTAGATTCTGCCTGGGAAGAGTAAGAAAATTCTCAACCCTCCACGTTTGTACAACCTCCTTGTGAAATGACAGGTGTCTGCTCCGATCACAGTGAGGGGCGAACCTCATGGCTGTTCAGTGCAACAGGCATGTAAAGCAAGTTTCTGTATTGAAGCAGGGCAAATGCAGGTGAAGAAAGTTAAGCATATTTTTACCATGAAGGCAGCTCATTTTCTACCTGAGTTGGTTGGGATGGCAGCCAGTGTGTGAAGCCGACAGGAGCTCTGCTGCCACATGGGGAGCAGCAGCCTTGGGCAGAGCTGGGCTTCTACATTCCAGCAAGACCTGGTCTTGTGGTGTGGAAACATCTACCACCGTCAAAGGAAAACTGGAAAATGTGGGCCAGGCATGGATTAGTAACGCAGGAACATACGTTTTCTTGGATGATGTGTGAACCTTGGGTGTATTTGGGAAAATAGATGGATTCATGAGCTCTGTGAGTATGTCATGATTGCTTATTGCTGCAGTACAGGGCAGACCTGCCAAAAGTTCACTTTCAGGCTCATGGGAAATCTGTCCATTTCAAAGTTTTCTTTTTGGCTTGAATCAGAAACTTCATTTCCTATGAAATGGAATCTAAGGAACATTAATTTTAGAGCCACTAAAACTCTTATTTCAGCTGTATCATTTTGATTATTTACATAAAATATGAACACACATGAATTCATTCAAACTTTAAATGAGTTCTGTTTCCAAAACCTGCCAGCTAGCATTAGAAATGGTGCACATCACGCCTACCTTGTTAGAAGGAATTGCTTTTTAACTGCTCAGCTTTGTGTGTGTGTGTGTTAAGCAACACATTCTTGTTGAATGTTTTGATTCAGTCACAGTTGCCAAATGAAAACTTTCTCTTAAAATTTCTAGATTACTTTAGTAAGGGATATAAAAAGGCAAAGAAATACTGGAGCTGAGGGGAAGGAGTAAGATCTGCCTGTGAATACTCAGCCACCATAAACAATAGAGCCCTCATTCTTGCAGATATTTGAGAGCCTTCTGAGCAATAACCAAGATGCATGTAAAGGCAAATTGCCAATGTGCATGGCAGCTGAACTGGCAGTGCCAAGGTTGCTCTTTCTCAGGGAAAACACTAAAAGGTTGCTGTGAGACTGAAACAGTTATAAAACCTCAGTATTTATGTAATTATGGTGGAAAGGGGAGGCAGTTGGTCTGGACAGAGCTTTCCAGCACAGACAGTGGATTGGGCACAGACTCCTGTTTTTCCCTGTGCCAGCACTGAAATTGGCTGGATATTCCCACAAGTGTCCCCTGGCCCTGGAGGGGTGGCAGTAAGCTGGGCCCGCTGCTCAGGAGGTACATTTTGAATGGAAAAAGGGCTTTAGTTTCCTGTGCTATCAGGCTAAAAAGCTTCCCAAAAAGTGTTTTAATGTTATTAAATATAAATGCTAAATGAACATTTAGATCTCATCTTTCTTCTGGATGTTCTGCTAGAACACCAACATCCTTTATTCTCCTGTTTCAACCTAAATTTGATAAAGGTTATTAGATTAGGTAGTTTGGTATCTTTATTATTACAAGCAATTTAATTTCCTTCCATGCCTTTGTAGAATCCAGTATATTGATTAAGTCTTGTTTTCCCCAAAAGCATTTAACCTTGGTTTGAAAACATAAGGAGATGGAGAATCACCTGTCCCTTTCCATGGCTGTTCATGATGTGAACCAACTTGTGTCTGGTTTACAGCTTGCCATGTTTCTGCTTCTAGCCACTTGTTCTGCTTGTCCTTTCCCTCCTCAGTGGGTCAAGGAGACTTTGGGGACCCGGTATTTTTTTCCCCTGTGAAAGTACTGATGTCATGCAGTGTCATTTCTGAATCTCTTTGCTATTAAACTAACACACCAGTCTTTTAATTCCTTACAGTAAGATTTCATTTTTCACCCATCTTTAAAACATCCTTGAAGGTTTTCTGTGTATTCTCTAATTTTTAAACATTATCTTTTGAAACATGGGCATACCAAAGCCTGCAGTCTTGTAACAGTGTCACCTGTGACACTCCTAAAAGTAAAACCATGTCTTTATTCCCACTTTCTGCTCTGCTGTTCACTCATCGTGAAGGGCTGATTAGGCATGATTTCTGGGTCATTCAGAGGCAATTGCTACATTGCACACCTGCTCTGGGTCTCAGTCCTCTTTAGGCTTGTGGTTTCCCAGGACAATCTCTAGGGATGGCCTCTTAATCTTGTTTCTAGATGCAAACCTTGCTTTGGAAATGTTGGAATGCTTTTTCTTGTAATAAACCCAGCCTCTCACAAATGATGCAGATCACACAGCCTACATGCTGTGTTCAGTCCTTAGTAATTAGCATAAAGCCTTTGATCACCTGCACTTTTTAGGAATGCTGATTTTATATCAATTTCTACACTATTTGGGTTTGTTTTTTTTTTTTGGTGGGGTTTTTTTTTTGGTTTTGTTTAGCTGTTGGGTTTTTTTCCCCTCTCCTGCTTTGCTTTTTTTCTACTTGTTGCTTTTTTAGTTCAAGCTCTTGTGTATTCACATGGTAAAGTGGTTCAAGTTACTGATCATAGATAGAATCATAGAATGATTTGGGTTGGAAGGGACCTTAAAGATCATCCAGTTGCAACCTTTCTGCCATGGGCAGGGACAACTTCCCCACTAGACCAGGCTGCTCAAAGCCCCATCCAACATGGCCTTGGTTGAAAAGCCTCATAAAACTGTGTCTGGGCTTTCAGGGTAAGGTATAAGTAGATTACTTTTAAACTGGATATGTTTTCTGATTGAGTTTATTGTGTGGGCACCCACAGGGAGATGCTGGCATAGCATGTAAGTTGTACAGAGGTGGCGATGAGCAGCTGTTTAGGAAAGAGCCCCTTCCCCAAAGTGAGGCAGCAAAGGGAAATGGCTCTGTTGCAAATGCTCAAGTATCACCACACCAGAAGCACTGCAGCTACTCCCCTGTGGATGTGATTTTTAAGATCCCTGCAGCAATTCCTAATTTGTTACTTGCGTGCTTTATTGACAGAGAAGAGTGATTACTTTTTAATGAGCACATTGCACACTACTAATTCAAATGCCTTAGGACATCTAAGTGTATTGAAGCTGTTGTTGCCTTTATCAAACAAACTTGTAATCTCATTAACAAAGTAACAGCTATTTTGCATAAACCATGCTA